TGCTTTCTTTAACATTTGCCTTTAGATTACGATTTTTCTTTCTTACAGTTTCCAGGCACTCAGTAAGGGAGCAGCAGTGAGTGGTATGGGTGAAAGTTCAGTTCCTACTTTTTGTGGGACATTGGTCTTTTGTTACTGTGGTGTTTCCAGACTGAAAAATGCTCTTGGAGTCTCATGTTATTGTAGCTGTGGATGTCTTTTTCTGTTGATGTTTGATAAGAGGGGGATTCGCATTAACATTTCTGTGCATTAAGTGAATACATGAAAGGGTATGTAGGGTATGATATGGCATAGAAGTGCATACTGTTGGAAATGCACACTGCTCCACAACTGCAGCCACCACCCCAAAAAACATCCAACTCTTCACAAATATGTGACAGAGATTGTGCATTAGAAGAGAGGGAGCTGGACCAAGTTTCCAGCAGCGGGTGAAGTTAGCCTCTGTGACTCTTTAATCCATGGCAGGTGCTGTGGGGTCACTGCACAGCAAGTTTCCCTTCCTCTATAGGTAGCAACCAATAAAGCAGAGTAATAACAAGGATTTTGACAATGTTACAATCTCCTGCCATGATTTCTGCTTCTGTTGTCTCTGCCTTTCTGTTCTGTGCAGGTATTACTGAATTCCAATGTGTTATAATGAGAGTTATCTTTGAAAGGCCATTGAGAAGCTGAGGTTGGCTCATAATGCATCTTTATGATTCTTAAAAAGGCATTAGGCTCATGTTTCAGAATTTAGGTGGACCTCCCATATGTGTTTTATTGAGATTTAATTAGTATCTAATTTTGTCCAATTGGACTAATCGCTCTTTGATCAGCAAAGGCTGCTTTGACCAGAAAGAGGAAAACTCCCTTTTGAATAATTTTCTTCCCACTTCATCCCCCCAAAATCTTTTTCAGTAGGGTGGAGAATCATTTGGAGGTGGTGTAGAGGGTTACAGAAGAAAGGTGGGATTTTTCAAAATTATATCCTTTTCTGTTTCCAGAAGTGCTTGCTAGACCAAAGATGTTAAAGTAAGTTCATTTGTTTATTAAAAAGAGCCTTCCACCTGTGGAGGGATGCAGTTAGCTATATCCTAATATGTTAAACTTACAAGGCCTTAATTGATTTGCAGTGCTTTATGGAAGCTATGTCAAGGAAAATATATATGCTACCTTCACTTACATTTGATCTCTAAAATGTGTTTTGTGGTTACAGCATCTAGCCTAAATGACCACATGGGGAAAATGTCATGTGTTGGCTTTATGGGGTTTGTACAGGATTTCCTGGCTAGGACTGGCTCTCCTCCTGTGTGTCTATGCTTCTTTACTTGAGTGACTATTGGGACCACCTTGTATCTTCATCCACCATATGAATCTGCTTTTGGCACTTCTCTATTACATTAGGAGACATCTTAAGCCTCAAGTGATTAAGATTTCCAAACTATCGTAGTAAACTTAACAGTTTCTAAGCAACTCTGCTATTCACTTAGAATGGCTGCAAACCATTATCTCTTACCCTTCCCTCAGAGGCAGGAAGTTGTTTTCCATCTTCTTAAATGACAGACTTTTAGATATTGTGATCATGTCGTTATAGCTTTCCTTGTTCTTTGCCAAGCTTGATATTCCCAGTTCCATCATTCTTTCCTTACAGAATTTTGATTCTGAATTCTTATCAGAATCTTTCTTTTCCTCTGCCCTTCCAAATTTGTCAATTCCCATTCCGAAAATTGGTGTCCCAAGTTCAAAGCATAATTCCAGACTGAGATTTTGCCAGCGTGGAGAGCTCCATGGCCCTAGAACAATAATATTAATTACAGCTATCCTATCTTACTGCTTTCAAACAAGTAGGTTTAGCAGAAAAATGAGTCTTCTGTAGCCTTGCTCAAGTGTTAAACCAAAAGAAGGTGTGGTGGCAAATTATGAAGTCTGTGAGGCCAGTAATGCTCTCTGCATCCCCAACATAACAGAGGGTTGACTGGATGCCCTTTGGAGTCTCGAGTCTATGATCTCTGTGCATGCTAGTCGTCCCCCTGCCACCTTCCCCGCAAAATCTCACTTTATTACATACATCCCCATAGGCAGAAGGGTACTGTGGTACTCATTGACAGATTACTGAAAATATAGCCATCTCTTTGTAAGTGGTACTGAATGTATGGTCATCTTGATAGCGTCTCTTAAGTTTTTTTAAAAAAAATACAGTTTGCATTTTTAAAATGCAAAGTCATTTGATCACAGTCAAGGATCCTTCCTAATACTTTGTTCTATCATTGAGTTAAAAGAGCTGTAGGAGCAATTGACAATTCCTCCTTTCTCTTTTTACTTTATGTTGTCTCTCATTTCTTGGGGGGGGAGCAAAATTATTTTAATTCCAAATTCTTTCACCATGCCCCATGCTCTGGAACTTTTAGACAAAAATAAAGTACATAAACACAAGGTTCTGATAGTAATTCAGCCATTATTTCATAGCTAACTCAGCTACTCTGCCTATTTGGTCATTTTAGTGTGTGTTATTTTTGAAGTAGCTGATATGTTAAATGACTGGGTCTAAATAATTTAAATAGTTCAGATTAACTATTTTGAAAGAGGAGTTTGGACAGTTTTTAATTGGTTTGTAGTTAATTAGTGTTTTGAAAGTGTTTTTTTATTGATGATGCATCACTTCAGGGGCCAATAGGCAATAGGTAAATGTCCTGAATGAACAATAAATAAATAAATGATTTAATCTAGTAACACATGATGGTAGTTACTGAATAATTTAGGTATAAATCTGAAAATAATCTAGTAATAAATGGATAATCTAAGTAATGCAGGTTACCAAACAAAATCTTAGCCAATTAATATTTGCTTGAAATAAATTGTTCGGTCAAGGATATTTTTACTTACCATAGATGAAAAAAATGGGCCTTTCCATGTCTAGGAGGCTTCTGCCTAATAGTATTTATCACACTAGCAGTGGAAAGATATTAACTTCTCCTCACTGACAAAAATTTAATGTTATATCCTTGATACTGTATCAGATGGCTTGAGTAATAGAAAACTGTCATTAGTTCAATAGGCCATGCCCTGAATCTTCTATTGTGAACTGGATGGAATAACCTCTATCACACACTAATCCTCCCTCCCTCTTTCCTTCTCTCTCACACACACACACACACTTTGTAGCATCACTGCTTCATCTTTTAGTTGTGGTTTGATTTCCATCCTTTAGCCTCAAATTCTCTATATTTATGCATATCCCCCAGCCTCAGGTCTTGCGACTCTTCCATCTCCTAAATATTCCATGATCCTTGCTACTGTTCACTACATTAACAAAAAATGTATTTGGGTTGCCCTTTTATAACAAAAGGAGTTGTGCCAAGTCATAAACAAATGAGGACTGAAACTGGAGGAAAGCCTTTATGACTTGTGGTCTTTGGACTAGATTTTCTGTGGAATTGCTATTGTAACAGGTCCAAGTAGGAGAGAGCAGCAGTATAGTGTGTATGTGTGTTTGTGTGTGTTTGTGGACTGGATAAACTTGTGATTTCCTTTGACAGTTGGACCATTGAGCTTGTTGGACAGTAATGTTTATTGATAACTTGTCCACTGAAGCATTAGCTGTGGATTTCATTTGATCCTTGTCTGGACACATCATTTTTCTGTTCAGTATTTCTAAACAAGTTAGTTGTTCCTGTATAGTCTTTGCTGCTCAAGTCTGTTCCTATTGCCAGAGCAACACCTGCTGACTAAAGGGGCTATAATTGCCTTTCATAACTTTCTGCAAAACTTATATTTGCCCCAAACTCATCTTGCTTTGCTTTCCTTTTTTTCCTGCTTGTTTACTAAATCTGTTGCATGTTTAATAATCAATTTACTAAATCTACTTCATGTTCAGTAATCTCTCCTGAGTGCAACTTGTGCTAAGGGGAGCCCTATTATGATTGTTTTTTATCCTTTCTCCTAAAGAGACATTTTAAAATCTTAGTGTAAATGAAAACTGTCTTCCATCTGACCCCAGCCTTTAGACTGGGGCCTGGAGAAATGTACTCCAGGGCAGGAAGAGAAAGAAAGGAATTGAACATTTTGGCGCACAGGCACCAACATTTCAGTGTGTCTCTTTTCTTAGTATTAGCCTAACTTTTTAAAAAAGAGCCAATTTTTAAATGCATTATTTTCATATTTCCTAAGGCATTCTTAGGAATCCGAGTCATAAATTCACTTTGGTAGAAATGCTTTTCAGGTCTAATTTGAAACAGAAGTTAATCTTAGTATTGGTTTTCATTACATCAGGAAATTTGAAATAGCAACAAGGAGTCCTTGCAAGGTGCTTTTTTCATCCTTGGTAACAACAGCAGGCTTCATAACTATGGGTTTGAGAAGAAGAGCATTCAAGCCAGAAGATACAACTTCCAAGCTGATATAAATTACACTCAGCTCTCCTTATCCACAGATTTTTTTTGTCCTCGGATTGAAGCATCCACAGTTTGAAAATATTTAGAAAAAGCATACATTCCAGATAGCAAACCTTGATTTTCCATTTTATATAAGAGACACCATTTTTTTATGCCATTATATTTAATGGGCCTTGAGTATCCATGGATTTTGTCATCTATAGAAGATCCTGGAACTAACCCCCAGCGTATAACAAGGGCCCACTGTACTACCACCATTCCGTTTTTAGAAATTGAGCAGAAGTTTTAATAAATATTGAAGAAGCAGAAGTTGATTGAATACTGAGAAATGAACCTAACTTCCTTGTAAAACTTTGGTAGCTAGCACAACGTGAACAATAGATGTAGTGTTTTCCTTGAAGACTCCATCAGGTAGATTAATTGTCTGTCTTGTTTGACTCATCTGTCAATTTTGACCTTTTACCAAACAAACCTTTGCAACTAAGGCAAATTGCTGCTGTTATTTGTAGCCATGTTAGTTCTCTCAGTAGATAGCAGTCCACACTGAACAAATATTTTAATTTCTTAAGTTCACACATTTTATTTCCAGACAGGAGATACTTGTATGTGACCACTTTCTAAAAGAAAAGAGCCAGCATGGTGTAGTGGTTTGAGCACTGGACTGTGACTCTGGAGACCAGGGTTCAAATCTTGATTTGGCCAAGAAACCCACTGGGTGACCTTGGGCAAGTCACATACTCTCAGCCTCAGAGGATGGCAATGGCAAACCCCCTCTGAAGAACCTTACCAGAAAAACCCCATGATAGGTTCACCTTAGGATCACTATAAGTCAGAAGTTACTTGAAGGCACACAACAACAACACAACAAAGTCCATAGTTAGTCAAAGGCCTACTATCTATGCTTGGAAGAATTAAATTAGAAAAGAGATGAGAGGGATAGTGGGGGGAAGCCTCCAAGAGTGATTAGCACAGTCCCAGTCTTGAACCTCATGCACTAATGCTTTCTTTTTAAAAGGAATCCAGATGTGTTGCTGACATTCAGTAGTTTGCTTTCGGCATTTAAAGTTTTTCTATAAAGCTTATGTGGCCTTCACATTTGAACCTTTCACACTACACAATTACAGCACTACAGCTCCACTTTAACTCTCATGGTTTCCATCCTGTGCAGTCCTGGGGGTTGTAGTTCTGGTGAGACCCTGTTGCTATCTGGCTAAAAATTCTAAATACCTCTCCATAAACTGTAGATTTTAGGATTATCAGAGGCTGGAACCATGACAGTTAACATGCAATCACAGTATTATAATTATGTTGTTTGAAAGGGCACATGTTCTTCAGAAAGAGCTTGTACAGCCAGCCCTCCATATTGACGGGGTTCTGTTCCATATTCCCCCACTGATACCAAATATTGCAGGACCTCAAGTCCTGTTATTGTCAAAGGACGTGCAACATACATGTGACTGCATTGGCATGTCTGTGTGTGTGTACCACCATTGACAATAATGGGATGGAACCATCCATGGATGCTCCAATCCTCAGATGGCCAGCTCACTGAAATGGAGGACTGACTGTATTATTATCTCAATTCAGTGGACTCACAACAATGTATATGCCCTGTTATCATTCACAGTGGCAAATCAGGGCTGGATTATGCAGAAAGCAAAATAATTCTAAAATAAGCCCAGCCAAATGTGGTTTAAGTATCTCTGTCTTACCAGTGTAAAAATATATCCAGCCTGCTCATAATGCAGGGCCTTTTGACTCTACCACTGTCCCTACTTCCATATATTTTACTCAGAAGACGACATCTCTTTCTTTGTATCAAAAGAAAAGAGTTGTGTGCAGCTACCTGGCTGGACAAAAATTGGACATTATTATTTGCTTGACCAGTATAAAACGCTAAATATTCCTTTATTGAGTCATAGACTGTTAAGGTAGGATTGGAAATAGGAATCTGTCTACACAGATAGATTTGTCTGTGAGTTTAAACAAAAGAAGGTTCGTGGCTCATAGTTGTGAGTGGATACAGATCTGTAGAGAGTCTGTACTATAGATCCCAGTTGGGCAAGATTACCCTAATGGTGGGCTCAAGACCAAATATGAAGTATTGTGCCGGGGGGGGCACTCAGGAAATTGAGGAACTGAAAATGGAGATTCTTCCATTGTTGGCTGCACTGGGCCCATATGGCTGATTATACATAGTAAAAGGGTGATGGCGGAGGAATCTTGGCATCATTAACAAATGATGTTAAAAATCAAAGATGTTCATTATTTCTAGATTCCAACATAGCAGGGTCAGGCAGGAGAAAAAACTCGGATGAAACACCTCCATCCTAGTTGGCAGCATTCTTCTGAGCTGGGCCAGAGCTAATTGTGCCAGAACGGTCTGTGGTTTTGAAGCAATGAGGGAGCTGGATGAGGCTTGCCAAATTCCTTTATGCTTGTGACTGAAGCCAGAACTAATACTTCTAAAACACAGCAGCCTTGTCCTTGTTATGGAAAAGTGTTGCCTTTGTGGACCGTTCTTCTCTTTTGCTTTGCTGTGCCTGTCTTTAGCAGCAGCCTTTGGCTGCCCAGATACCCACAGGGCTTTTGTCTTCTGTATTTTACAGCAAAAATAAATACATTCCAGAAATGCAAAACTTCCCCCCTCTTTTCCCTCCCTCCCTCCTTCCCTCCCTCTTTTTTAATGGGTGGGAAAGCTTCCATTTTCTTGATGCTTTTAAAGGTCTCTGCCGCTTCCTTTGGGATTGTCAGTAAAAAGAGAATATCCTGCTTCCAGGACTACATACATCATTATACTTTCCTTTCCAAACAAGAGAGTGGAAGATTGTTCCTCTTCCAAAATCATTCCCTTCCTTCCCTTTACTTCCTGCTCTTTTTTGTCTGATTGATTTCTTGCTCCCCATCCTAAAAGACCCTCTCCTTCAAATCTTGTTGCATGACATTTCCCCACATGAAAGTGGTGCTGGAGCTTGAGCCTCTGGGCACTGCACATGAATATATTGCATGTTTTGCCAAGATCTGGGAAAGCAAAACCAATTTGGGCATCTTTTGGGACTGCTGGGGAGGGAGGGTTGCCCTCCATTGAAGCATGCCCTTGCTGAATGCCGCTTGCCTTTGTCTGGGCCCAGCGTGTTGATTAGGTCACACATTTGTGCTTGTTCTGAATAATGTGGAAAGACTCTTGAGAAATTTCTTTGCCAGGAGAAGGGAGTGAAAGGGAGAGATGGGGAAATGTTGCAATGCTTGGGAGGGTGGACTGAAATCCTTTTGAGACTCTCAGCTGAAGGTCAAAGGCCTGCCATGACCTTGAAATGCCTAATTGACCTTTTAAGACAGTTGTTTGTCATGCCTTTGCTGGTTTGGACTAGTTCTCTGCTGGTCCCTAAGAAGGATAGCTAAACACAAGTGTCCTTGCTGCTGCTATTTCACTGTGCTCTATAGACTGATAGGAATTCTTACAGTTGGTATCTAACTTGCTTTCCTTGGCATGTTAGTATTATTTTTTAAATGAAGCATGCAGACAATCTGCTGGTTACACCAACCCATGAAGAATTAATTTTCCTTGTCCATGGTGCTGAGGACTCATGCTTTGTAGAGATGGTCTCTTGATTGGTTTCCTTCAGAGCTGGCACTGTGGGGGAAATGCTATATTTGTTTCCACTTCAAAGTCAATCTCAGCTACTTATTTCTTTAAAATGCTGAAGTAGTCCAGATTTGCATGGTGTAGATGAGCATTCAGTTGACTAAGGGCCTAAGCAGACGGCACTTTGCACCGTCTTCGAGGCAAGGAAGGGGAGGGGCAGCCTCACACTGGGCGCCCAACCGCTTCCTGAACACGTCATCAGAGCTCCCGTCACTCCACACGACGTACTTCCACCGCAGCGTCCGCACACGCTGCGGCGGAAGAGACGCCAAAGGTGCGTCCAAGGCCTCTTGTGGTGCACCTTCGGCATTTTGCAGAAGGAGCACTATTTTAGCGCTCCTTCCAGGGCCTGAGATGCTGTGGGTTGGAGCCGAGGAGTGCGGCTACCTCGGCCCCAATCTGCAGCTTCCTGGGGCGGCCCACAGTTGCCCATCTGCTCCCCCCACAACTCTTTCTTCATTCACTTAATAATTTGTTCGCATTGCCCTTGCAGACCTCCATTTTCTTCTCCTACAGAAGGTCTTCCTTCTGTAGGTTTTCCCAACCTTTAGATCAAGTCTGGGAAAAGTCTGTCACTCCAGATGTTGATGGACTGCAATTTCCTTTAACTCCCAACTAGCAAATGCAATGGTGAGGGATGAAACAGTTGCAGCTGCATCTGAACAACATCTGGATTTCACAGATGAATAACATCTGGAGGGACTCATTTATTTATTTATTTGAAATATTTATACTGCACTCTTCAGCCACAAAGGCTGTCAGAGCAGCTTATAAATGGTTAATTAGACCAGGGGTAGGCAACCTTTTTGAGCCGGGGGCCGGGTTGCTGTCCCTCAGACAATTGGGGGGCCAAAGCACCAAAAATAGATAAAAAAATATATTTTAAAAAAATTAAAAAATAAAAATATATGCATGCACACTCGCTCAGCCCCAGAAAAGCCATGGCAAAACCCCTGTGGAGATTTTGCCAAGAAAACCCCAAGAACAAGTAATAACAACACTAATCAATATAATCATGGCGGGCGGTGGCGGTAGGACCGGCCTTGGGCCAGTCTAAAGGCCTTGGGGGGCCGCATCCGGCCCCTGGGCCTTAGGTTGCCTACCCCTGAATTAGACATTTCCCTGTCCTCAGGCTTACAATCTAAAAAGGCATGACACAAAAGGAGAGGGGAATGGCAGTAGGGAAGGGGATCAGGTCCAGCAGTTCTTCTCTCCCCCTGAGGCCTGGACCATGATAGATAGGCTGGAGGGAGGGCTCTGCTTCTTAATCTAAACTAGGTCTGATGGAGCTGGCCTGCCTCTCTCCCTCAATTAATATCAACTTCATCTTCTGTCCATAAGAATCCATTGTTTTCTCTAATATCAAGATCAGTCTTTTCATTATCTCCTGAATGTTTGAAATCTTCTTTTTTACCACCATAGTATAAAATGTAGTCATTCGCAAATTTCTTGTGTCTTGCATAAGTATCCATTGCTATTAAATGAAATCTTTGATTTCTCACTTCTTCCCTGTTCCGTTCATCTGTCACCACTTGTCTGTGATGCACCTGGCTCTATTTTTTCCTTCTGGAAGGGCTTTTTGAGTAACGTATCTTCATTTCTGTTTTTCCGCTTGTCAGCTTATTCTCCTGTTTCATCATTGCTAAAATCAGAGTCATAGCCACCATGGCCAAGGACAGCCCCAGACAGCTTCATTTCGAATGCCCAATGTGCCAAAGTGTCCCGCTCTCAATGTCATTGGCTGCTTGGGAGGAGAACCCGGACCACTCAAGCAGAGAGGCTGGATTGCCTCTTTAAGCAGAGGCTGGATGGCCATCTGTCAGGGATGCTTTGATTGGGAGTTCCTGCATGGCAGGGGGTTGGACTGGATGGCCCTTGTGGTCTCTTCCAACTCTATGATTCTATGATTCTAAGCTTCGCCACTACCGCATCTGTCAGCAATCTTGTCTATCCTTGCTTCAGATCCATGTTGGTCAGTGCATGACACGCATGCCAGAGATGGCATGGCAAGCCATCTCTGTGGGCACACGCTATTGGCCAAGATTCCTTTCCTAC